CCCTGTCCCTGGGTGTGTTTGATGGGGACAGTGTAGAGGGAGCTTTAGTCTGTATCGAACCCCGTGCTGTCCCTGTCCCTGGGAGTGTTTGATGGGGGACAGCGTAGAGGGAGCTTTACTCTGTATCTAACCCCCTGTCCCTGGGAGTGTTTGATGGTGGGGGGACAGTGTAGAGGGAGCTTTACTCTGTATCTAACCCCCTGTCCCCGGGAGTGTTTGATGGGGGACAGTGTAGAGGGAGCTTTACTCTGTATCTAACCCCGTGCTGTCCCTGTCCCTGGGAGTGTTTGATGGGGGGACAGTGTAGAGAGCTTTAGTTTTTTTGTCTCATTTGCCCACTGGCCTCGCCCCACCGTTCGACTGACGTCCAATCAGCGCGCCGGGTCCCTGATGGGCAGCCCTTCTGTCCAATCGTCCGTGGGCCTATGTGATTGACAGGCTCTGCACCTATTGGTCGATGGGTGAAGGCGGGCGAAGTGTGTTACCCCACCCTCGGACTGACCGACAGCTGTCTCGCCCAATCGGAGCCCGCACCGGCTCCACCTGACGGCAACAGGTGACGCATCCAATTGAGGTGGCCCCCGCCCTATGGCTCGACACTGTCCAATCGGAACAGCTCGACGCCTCCGACCGACGTCTACCCCGCCCAATGGGAGGCCTAGCCCCACCCCTTTCCCTGACGGACGACTCCGCTGTCCAATGAGAGAAGGCGGCAGCCTAAGTGGGCGGCGGTCACTGGTAGGCGGACGGTCCGCCGCCTCTCTCCGTCCGTCGGTGCGCGGTGCCACCACAGAGAACGACACCGACCCGCCGCATCAACGGAGGAGGTAGCAGCGAATATCGGAATGTTGGTAATGATAGCGGCAGGTGAAATCTCTCCCTTTACCTGGGCTTTCGTCCCCGGCCGGTTCCTCCTGAGGAGGACGGTGACCGCCATCGCCTCGCAGCCCGGACGTCTTTACCCGGATGTTCTTAAAGGCGCCCTTCCCCCGCCCCGCCCCGCCCCGCCCCGCCCCGCCCCGCCCCCTGAGCTACCATTTAATGTCCTCCGACAGATAAGTCCTCTTAAAGGGAAGGGGCCATTTTTTTGCCCCCCCACTTTTTTGCCTCCCCCCTTTCCGCAGTTAAGACCTTTTTGTCCTGTCTCCTTTGTAACCACACCTGGACCGGGATATCGTTGAAAAGCCTTTCAGGGAAGGAAATCAGCAACATACATGTGACTCTAGACCCCCCCCCCCATAGTGATGGGGTTGACTCCCAGTTCTTGCCCCCACTCACCCCAAATGGGGCAATTAGGGACCTGCTGCATAAATACTGGACTCACCCACTATCCCATGAACCGATATAGTTACAGACTGCAGAAAGCAAAATAGTGGGAGGTGTTGGGATGGGATCTGTCCAGGTGAGGAAGGGCTACAACAGGACGGGAGCAGACCCATGTCCTCCCAATATTTACTTGGAAGAAGAAAAGACTGCATAAAGCTGCAACACAAAGGGACTCTGAGCCAGTGGGGTGCAGTGGGAGACAGGGGTACTTGTGCACGAAAGACAGAAAGCTAGCACACAGGGATAGCATCTAATCAGGAAGGCTAATGGAATATTGGCCCTGATTTTCAAGGGAGTTGGAGTAGAAAAGTTGCACTTTAACCGTACAAGGTGCTGGTGAGATCACATCTGGAGTACTTTGAGCAGTTTTGGTCCCCTTATTTAAGGAAACCAAGATGTAGAGGTGCCAGTATTGGACTGGTGTGGGCAAAGTCAGAAGTCACACGACACCAGATTATAGTCCAACAGGTTTATTTGAAATCACAAGCTTTTGGAGTGCTGCTCCTTCGTCAGGTGAAGTCACTTCTTAATTGACCCACCACTTAGACCATTTGTGTGATCTTTTGATCTCTCTGCCGATAAATTCAGTGCCTGTATGCTTTTCTTCACTTCGCCTGACAAAGGGACAGCACTTTGAAAGCTTGTGATTTCGAATAAGCCTGTTGGACTGTAACCTGGTGTCATGTGACATCTAGGAATGAGACAGATAGATCGTTGATCAGTTGGGGAATCAAGGATTATGGGGAAAGGGCAGGAAAGTGGATGTGAGGAATGTTTGATCAGCCATGATCCTATTGAATGGCACACCAATTTCTTCAGGTCTTATGGGAGGTTTGTTAACACTGTTGTTGGGGGTGGGATGGATTTAAAGTAGATTGGTAGTAAACGGACCAAAATAGAGGAGACACACAAACTAATAAACAACACTCTCACCAGGATCAGATTCACCAAGGAAGAGGAAAAAACAAACAGCTCCCTTTCCTTGATGTCATGGTGGAACACAAGACCAACGGGAAATTCCTAACAAAGGTACACAGGAGAGCTACACACACTGACCAAGTACTGAATTTCAACAGCAATCACCCTAACACACACAAACAAAGTTGCGTGAAAGCTCTATTTAAATGGGTACGAACACACTGCACCAAGAAGAAGAAGAATACCCCTTCCAGGTATTCAAGGACAATGGATACCCAAAAAACTGGGTCAGAAGATGCCTCTTACACGAACGAGACCAGGAAGATATTGCATGCCCCGATACACTCATCACGCTACCTAACGTCAGGAACACATCTGAACTAACCACAAGCCTCCTATGACCACTGGGCATCAGAGTAGCACACAAACCCACATCAACCCTACGCCAACTGCTAACTGAACCAAAGACCCCTTACCCACAATGGACAGGACCAGTGTAATGTACAAGATCCCCTGCAAAGACTGTGACAAACATTACATTGGACAGACAGGAAGAAAATTAGCCACAAGTGTACACAAACATCAAACTAGCAACAAAAAGACACGACCAATACTCAGTCATCTTCATCAACATGGATAAGGAAAACCAGCAGTTTGATTGGGACAACACCAGGATCCTGGGACACGCCAAGCAGGGACAAGCACGGGAATTCCTAGAAGCCTGGTTCTCCACTAAGAAAGCCATCAACAAACACATAGAGCTAGACCCTATATACACTTGACCGCGAAGGAAAACCGTAAGTGAGGTGATCCAACTTAACGGACACCAGAGTTTAAATAACAGGCGGGAAAACACAACGGCGCTTCATCGGAGGCTGTAGTGATGATGTTACCCAGCAGGGTAACGAAACGTCTGCGGAACAATGAACCAGCTTGGCGAGCCAACCAACTGCAACCTTCGACAGTGCCCGCTCCCTCAGCACTGACCCTCCAACAGCACCTGCTCCCTCAGTGCTGACCCTCCGACAGCGCCAACTCCCTTAGCACTGACACTCTGACAGTGTGGCACTCGTCCAAGACAGAGATGTTGGCCAGGGAACACAGTGAGGTGTTGAATGGGCAGGCAACTGGAAGCTCAGGGTCATTTAATTGCCCTGGCTTACCACCATGCACCCCTTTGTCTGCCTCTCATTTCTCCTCTCCCTCTGGGCTCCTATCCACCCACTTCATTCCTCCCCTTACACTCTTCCTCTGTCTTCAACACATATACTACCTTTTGCTGGCTACACTAGCAATGAAGAATTGTCATACTGGACCCAAAACGTTAAGTCTGTTTCTCTCTCCACAGATGCTGCCAGCCCTGCTGAGTTTCTCCAGCAATTTCTGTTCTTGTTTTACTTTTCTCTCACACACATACAGCACAGTGAGAGGGCCCTTTTAAATTTGTCGTTCTTGCTGTTGTTGGCACAGTCATACACAACCCTGGTCACACCCCACTTGTTTCAAAATTTTCCTAATAGACCTGACCCGTGACTGTTATAACAGACCTCTCTGGGGGTGGGGGTTGTGCTTTTGTGGCTCTGTGGCAGTGACCTGGCCCAGATTCAAGTCACAACTGCCCCAGACGTGAGTCTCTCCAAACTGGCTGTTCAGAAAATATTGATAACATGATAAAACATTGATAACATTAATAAACCTATTTTTGCACTGGTTGGGGAGTCTAGAACTAGGTGATGTAGACTAGGAATTAGGGCCAGAGCATGCAGGAGAGATGTTATGAAGCACATGGACATACAAAGGGTAGGAGAGGTCTGGAACTCTTGAGTGTGAGAGAGTCACGTCTCCAACAGCGCCTGCTCCCTCGGCACTGACCCTCCAACAGTGCCCGCTCCCTCAGCACTGCATCTCCCACAGTGCCTGCTCCCTCAGCACTGACCCTCTGACAGTACGGCGCTCCCTCAGCGCTGACCCTCCGATACAACCCGCTTCCTCAGCACTGACCCTCCGACAGCGCCCGCTCCCTCAGCACTGACCCTCCAAAAGTACCTGCTCCCTCAGCACTGACCCTCCCACAGTGTCTGCTCCCTCAGCACTGACCCTCCCACAGTGCCCGCTCCCTTGGCACTGACCCTCCTACAGTGCGGCGCTCCCTCAGCGCTGACCCTCCGACAGTGTGGCGCTCCCTCAGCGCTGACCCTCCGACAGCCCTGCTCCCTCAGCGCTGACCCTCCAACAGCTCCAGCTCCCTCAGTGCTGACCCTCCAACAGCTCCAGCTCCCTCAGTGCTGACCTTCCGACAGCGCCCTCTCCCTCAGCCCTGACCCTCTGACAGTGCCCGCTCCCTCAGCGCTGACCCTCCGACAGTGTGGCGCTCCCTCAGCGCTGACCCTCCGACAG